CATGCGCTACCTCTGGTTAATTAACAACGCTCGGGCGACGACGTGCAATTGGCACCGACCCACCACGATATTTACCTTGATGGACTACTACTGCTACTACGTTACTCTTGCGTTGGAATTTTTTTGGCCCCCTTTTTTTCGAGCTGCACATGACCGCGTGAAAATTTTTGCTCGCTCGCGCGCTTTTTCGCCCCCCTCCCTCCCACCCCAAATGCCGAAAGAGTTGCTTTTCAGTTGTTCTCACGCTATGTACGTTGTAATTTGCTTTTGTCCGGCGCCGCGTCTCTTTTCGCCTCTGCTTTTTCACATTTTTGTGCGCGTTTGACGTTTGTTTGTTCGGACAGCTTTTGTATGCCGACAGAGGTGAGTGGAGTGTACCGTCCGGCCCTTCTTTCCTACGTATCGCTCTCAATAATGACCAGCATTTCGATTATACGTACCTTTGAATGCAAGCATAGTTTTCAAGTTGAAAAATATATCTAGCTATTTTACAAAGCACTTGAATTGCTCGACCAGTGGAGAGTGGTTCCAATTAAAATATGATTATTTAGCCGTTACATAACTGTATTTTACTCAAGTTACTGGATTTCATGAAATTTCACGAATTAATGTGTTATCTCTCTTCGTAAAATTAAAATTTATTCGCAGTTCAATTATTCGTTTGGAAATACAAATCAATCGAACCGCTTGCATTGCTCATTTTGCACATCAATGAAAACATTACGGGTGTCGTTTAAAAGAAAGGTAAAAAAACCAGCAACTGTGGAATGTAGTAAGTTTAGCAGTAGTACCGAGACAAGAAAACTTTCTTCCGTCGAGTGTGAAAAAAAGAAAGACCTTAGGAAAGTTGCCAAGAGTAGTCCGCTTTGCGAACGCAAATCAAAGTTGACTTTTTAAGCAATCAATAGTCAACACTGCAAGCCATACTACAGGTATTTAAGTGACCGGCGCTCGGGAGACAAGTTAAACTAAGGGTAAATTTGCCGAGCACGCCTGCCCTTTGAAATGTCAGATACGACGCCCATAGAGGTGGAACTTTCTTATTCGCGAGGGCGGAGCTTTTTATGCCGGCCAAGACAAATAACAAAGTTAAAGGGAGATCACTTTGGTGCGCGCGCGCGTAACGAGCTGTAAATTGGCAAGTTAATAATCCGATTAGGTCGGCGTGAAAAACAAACGCTCTCTCGGCGATATCGCCAATAACAATTCCGCGGAAGCTCGCAGGCGGGATGAACTTTTATCCAAGTCTCATTAGAGCGGAATGCCTTCGTCGTCTGCCCTCTCCTACGGATAATTGGCGAGGTTTTTTTTCACTCTCGCCGAGGGATGATTAATGATTGTAACGATTACACGATGTTCTCGTTGGCGCAAAAACAATGTGGAATCGATAACCTCTCCTCCGTCGTTCGAATTTGATCCACTCGCTCTCGCTCTCGCTCTCTCTCTTTCTCTCTCGGCGTGCGCTGAAGAGAGACATTCTCTCGCGAGAATCGTCTTGAATGCGTGTTTTCTTTTCTCACAGGATCGCTCCCGGGTAGTGTTGTCGCTTCTCTCTTTTTTTCGGTAGGTATGTATCTGATAAATCGCTTGTTTTATCGCGCGGCTCCGCCGAAACAAGCTGGAGTATCCGCTGGCTGTGTGTGCGTAATAGCGCTCCGTACGCGTCGACAGAGTGAGAACGCTCTGCGGCTGACGTCATACAGGAACTTTGAAACGTTGTAACGTCGTTCAGTCGGACTTCTTTTCTCGATGTTCTTTTTTCTTCCTCTCGCCAACGAAGTACGGCGAAAGATTTATGAGTAGACTTGCGAAAATTTCCGAAAGTTCCTACGGTGAACGGTGCTACAATACTCTTATTAGTTTTTCTCTTTTGCTTCGCCGCACGAAAAGTTGCCGCTATTCCTTTTAATATTTTAGCAGCTCGCACAGTCATTAACGATGAATCGAGATCTATTATTCGAAGAAGAAGTCCTTTGACGGTATACGTCGTGATTATAGCGCGCGAGCTTGCAACGCGGCAGCATAATGGAAGACGAAATTCAATTCTCGGAAGTAAGCTTTGGGAGTTTGAATGCCTTTGACAGTTTCCAAGCGGGATTTACCTCGTTAACTTGATTCTGCATGATGTGCTCCGCGTGCAAATTTGCAATAGCGACCAAGTACAACTGGCGACGAGCGCGATATTCCAGCTGCAATTGACGCGACAGCCAACAACGCGCCTCGGTCAACGCGGATGATCGAGCACTCGCGCATTTCGCTTTTTCGCGAGGTTTTGAGAGCGCAGGGGCCACGGGAGTGGCTAAATAATCCATCCTACAAAATGTGCCATACATTAAGGCTCTCCCAGGCGCGAGCAGATAAGAGAGAGACAAACAAAATACAACGCGAGGGTGTAATTTTTCCTCTCTCCCGAGAGCATAGCTCCCGCGTGTCGAGCTGGCGCTCGGGCGGAGCTGAGCGTCGGCGGCGGAATCTCCGGCATGATAAACTAGCCACTCATCGAAATTCTCGAAGAGGCCGTCATCCATCAAGCCACCCGCGCGAGCGACAGAGACCACCCAACAGCCATGCAAATTCGCCGCGGCGCGCCGTCAATTTTCGAAGGCATCGCCGTCGCCGCCCAACGCTCGATGTCAATTGAAATATAGATGAGGCCCGGAGAAGGATCTGCAAATAGCCCGCGCGACGATCGATACGGAATAATGCGTCGACGGCGAAGGGGCAACGGCGTGCCCGTCCGCGACACTCGACTTAGCCGACGCCCCGTCGGCGCGGCAATAGTTGCTGATCGCCCACGTATATCGAGCCGCCGAACCGGTGGCCCCGTGTCTGTCAGAAGGGCTTGCGTGCTCATGGACGACCGGCATTCGCCGACGACGTCGCGACGTCGCTAGACGGCCGACTGCGATCGAAATGCTCGCCTTGAAACGAGCGAAGGGCGAGCGAGGCGGAAGCAACTGGGCGGACCCGCTATAGACGCCCGACGATTGATCTGGCCTGCCGCCTTGCGGCCCAAGTGTCGGATCCGTCGCGCGGGGCTGCCAATGCCAAAAACGAGCCAACGAACGATCGCTCGCCTCTCCGACGAGGACGTCCTCGCGACGACAATAGTCCGCGACGGAACTGCATTAACGCTGAAAGAATCCCCTTCTCGGCGGTGGACGGCACGATAAAGCGGTAAACGGCCGAGTGAGTTTCACGGCGGCGGCAGCCAAGGCAATTCGAGGTGGCCAGTTGCCAGGGACACGCGTCTGTCCCTCGAGAGTCAGGCGTTGACCTCATCCCACTACCGACGCTGCCACCCTAAGGCTAATGACAGACCTCGGGTAAAAAAAGGAGGAAAACTCGACGACGCGCACTTTCAGGCGCGTGTGCATCAAATGATAGATGGCTCGTGCGTTTCTGTTTATGAATGAATCTTAATCGTTACTTTACTCGACTGTCTAGTATCCTGTTTCTTTTTTTTTGTTCTACCTTTCTACGCGACCGCGTCTCTCTCAAAAGAAAGTACGAGAGACCGAGTTTCAGCTTTGCAGAGCGAGTACTTATTACGACGAGTAGTAGCCTATCTATACGACGCCGTGCATTCAGGAAAAATCGCTCTTCCTCCGAAAGCTATACTTCCCCCGTTTCTTTTTTTCCTTCCTTTTACCCGCCGCGGAGGTCGCGCGCGAGCGATTTCTTTTTTCTGTTGCAAATCGCATTTCGCAAAGCTGCTTATGCAGACTTCTTTTGAGCAACTCTCTCGATACCGGGTATGAATTTCCTCGTCCTCGAAAATCTCCGAGCGTGACGACCCTTTATTTTCCAGCTTCCACGCGATTCGTCAAGGTCGCGGACCTTCTTTCTCCCTTACCTTGCTCGGTCTCTCTCCCTCTCTCTCGAGAAAGAATAGAAATGTCGCGGAAAGCTCGCTGATTTATTCGCTTGCCGTACCTTAGCGGAGCCGACATCCAGCGCGCGACGTACTCGAGCATTAAGGAACACGATCTCTTTCATTTCGCTATCCACGATAGCACGTCGACCAGCTAATCGCAATATTATTCGTATTAATTGCAATATAACAAATCCAGCTTCGTGGTTTAATTAGATGGAGATTCCCGTATGTGAATGCACTTAAATCATTGCTCTGTCCCCACTACCCCTTCCTGACAAAGCGCTCGTACTCTCGGGCTGAAAAAAGGGTAAAATCCGGACGCTACAAGTAGCTTGTCGATCCTCGAAAAAAAAAAAAGTTTCACCTTTTATCGTGAGTGAACAATGCCCTCGGAAGGGACCCTCGAGCTGTTTTCCTTACGCGAAAATAGATCGCAGTGAGTGGCCTTTGCACGAAACACACACACATACACACACATACACACACGCACGTCTAGAAAGAGAAAGAAGAAAAAGCTCAATAGTAAAGCATTGAGTAATTCCCGTATACGCTGTATATACTTGATTAAATTCGTTCGAACACTATATCGGTGATCTGCGCTTATGCGCGGGTCACATATGCGAGGGTATACGCCATCGTAATTATGGCGCAGGAGGTTAACGAACGATGAATTTTCGACAACACCACTCGCTCGCTATTATTATCCCCCGGCTCCGCGAAGCTGCAAGACGAGTTAATGAAGTGCAATCGGCAAACGTCACGACCGCGGCAACAAACGAAATGTGGCGCAGCGGTGATTTGCGGTCGGCACGCTTCGTCCTTAACTGAGCTCAAGTTCATTCCTCGAGATGGATGGGAATCAACCACGTGCGGCCGAGAGACGGGCGGTCGCGCGGCGCGCGACGGTGAAACGGTCTTTCCCGTCGGCTGGGCCAGGTGCTGCGCGGAACCAGCCGTTTTCGCGCGATCGAGCGCACCGTGAGGTATCGCGGCGAGAGGGGCGCAGCGTGGCCGTCTGGCGTTGTGGCGGCGCGTCGCGTGCCGATGCCGCGGTCGTCCACCCCTCGCGCGAGGACCTTAGGGAAGAAAGAACAGCGAAGGGAATCGGGACCCAAGAGCTCACCTCTGTCAACGTCGGCGGCATGGCGCACTCGTGCTCGCACAACGCAGCCGACCTCTCACGCAGTACGACACATTTGGGCTGTCGAGCGAGTCACCACGCGACAAGCGGACAATACGACGCGAGCCAAGGAGGAACAACTCCCGTGAGCGGTCACGACGGAGGCGCAAAGTAGCGGCGAGCGCACGTGCGGCAGCGGCTGCGACGGCACTACTGGGGGTGCGGCGCGCGGCTCTCGCCGCACCGCCGCTGCTTTCGCGATTTCATGTGCCAACCCACAGCGCCACCTGCCGTTCGCAAACTGGTCGATGCCACCATGTCGACACCGAGGAGGGAGGGATGCTGATTATGGGGATGCTCGATTTTGCGGGTCTGTGTTTCCTCGCTCTCTCTTCCTTTTTGGGATGGGGTTAACGGGTCACTGGGTAACGTCAACGGTTCGAAGGGACGAAGATCGAGGGTGAGATTTAAATGAGATTTAGATTCTTCTCTCGCGGTCCCCTGCGCTCAGTGCCTTCTTCTTCTCCTTGGAGGATAAAGTTCGAGCGTATACCAAATGAACTCGTTATTCCTCGGATTTTCCAAGCGAGTTTGCTTTCTTACTTCGCTTCGAGGGAAGAGACTAAGCGCAATTATTAAGGAAGGATTGACTTTAATCGTTCGAGCAGTACGAGCAATCCGCTCGCGAGCTGTTACGCCGCGCCAACTGAACGATGAAGGAATGCTCGCGCGCGCCTTTCCGTCAGTCGTCATCATCATTTCCCCCTGATAAGCTCGCAAATATTCCCACGGGTCTCTCCCCCGCGCATTCGCATGATAGCCGTCGTTCGCATTAATAACTTTACGTCCCTTCGCGTCTTTCGCTTCTCCCTTCCCTCTCGAAAAGAAGAAGTTGACGAATAATTAACGCGCGTTTGCGATTCGTCCTTTCCTAAACAATTGATGAATTTTGCAGGACAGCCCTGCTCGGATTTAAAAATTAACGGTAACGTACGGGCGGTATGCGAGCGACAGAGGGTCTCTCGTAAAGTTTTACAGCTGCGCTCTCCACGTCGTCGCGAAACACCTCTTAATGAGATCGACGCCGAAGGGTTAATCAAGTAGCGCGTCGTGGGGCACAGGTATGGTGGAAGGTGGCTCTCGGCGTCACTAATTTCATTGGGTATCAGCGCCTTCTTCTGCTTTTCGCCTACTGTCGTACCGATCGATCCCTGCGCTTGCGAGGGGACAGGGAGGCACGTGAAATTCTTCGCTCCTATTCGGACGTTCACGAGTGACTTTCGCGATTGAACAGAATCAGCGACGTGAAATAACACTGCTATATTGAAATGCTGCAACTCATCGAAAGTAAAACGTAAAGAAAAGTAATTGCACGCGAAAGACTAGTTAAAAAAAAAACGCTTAGCCGTGGTATTAGGTAAAGGGAGAGCTTGCGACAGGAGGAAAGAAAGCTCGTGTGGGGTGTCCATGATGGCGACGTAAATGGACTTGACGAGCATCTGCGCTGAATGGGGTTTACTCCACGCGTTTATTATTTTCATGTGTCTCATAAAGAGGCGCGCGAGCGGCGGCAGCAGCGGCACCCAACTGCATTACAATTAACGCGCGCGTTTCAACGATCTTTCGATGCTCGAATGATGCACGAATAAAACGCTCTTTCTCGCGTTTATACTTCACGTCGAGTAATTTGCCTGCGGCTGGACGTGATCCTCGTGGATATTCGTCGACGAAAAAAAAATTGCTTCCGAGCTACATCGCACTGCGAGTTATTAAAACTTCAATAAAAATGACTCAGGGAAGAGCGAAGCGTCAGAGAGTCCATTTCGGGAAGCTGCGAAACATATAAGGAACGTTACAGGCGATATCTCACGGGGATACATAAAATTGGACTTGTCTGTTTTTCCGTGGCCGACAAAAGCCGTTAGCGGAGAACTCGAGCGCGTCGTCGAAAGGAATCGATCAAACTTTATTACGCAGCCGAGTAGTCGCGCGGGCATATCCGTTTAATGACTGCTCGCCGATCGGAAGGTAATCGCGGAAATTATATGGAAGCTGCTCGTCGATGGATTTTCGGCAGCTCGCTCGCTCGCCCTTTGACTCTGAAAATTAAATAGCTCCGGCGCGAGCACTCCATAAATCCGAGGCCCGAGCGAGCGAGCGAAGCCAGGCGAGAGTGGCCTGTTGACCCGTATAATCGAGCGCGAACACTTCACAATCTCACCCCCGCCGTCGAAACGTTCGTTCCGTTTGTTTTCACCAGGCACAAGTGTGTTTACTCTCGATAGCGCGAATAAAAATACATGACCGCCTCCCCCCCCCCCTCGTTCGCCCATCCCAAAAGTGCGTTTAACGCTTTTAGTTGCGAGCCACTTGAAGCTCGTAAGTGCGTACAAATTTGCTGTTTGTAAAAGAAATCACCGTTTGTTTATTTATCGAACGAGCATTTTCTTTTATTTTCTTCGATCGGATGATTAATTTGCACGATGTTGCGACGACGGAGACGACCAGATTGCAATGTTGAAATGTATAAATGTAATCTCGATCGGTGATAACAGGTTCGATGCAAAGATATTATTATTAGATCAGGTTGGAAAATTCCTACATAAAAGCATCCGATGATCAATTTACACATTTCGCAGAGTAACTTGAAACTTCAACTGAATTTTATTTCCACATTTAATCTTAATATGTCTAATAATGAATGTATAGCAGTATTCACTTACTCATTTTTCAAGCAATTAGCGTGAAAAAAATCGTTTCTCTGAAGTTTAGAAAAATTCCTGAAATTTTCAGAGACTAAAAGTTAATAATAGTTTCAAATTGCAATCTAATATTTAAAGCTCAATACTAATAATGACAGAAAGATAAATTTGGTAGTCCGATGCTTCTCAGTTAAAGTTTACTCAAGTATCGTTTCTCAAGGAGGTTTTCGATTATCGCCAAATATCGCATATCGATAAATTCGAACACAGTTTAAGAGAACATTAAAAGTCAGGTGTACGATTGTCGCGTTTAATAGAAAGATAAATTCTAAGCTTAATAATTTCTCTAACGAGCAATCGCGTCTGAAAATAGCATCTAACTGCGACTAGCCAAAGCTAGCAGTACGCGTCTCTCCAACCGCAGAATCACAGTTCCCATTAACAATAAAGTGATAATTTTTCGCGAGAGCGCAAAGCCAATCGCACACGAGAGAGGGAGGTGGCTGTACGTACGCGTATATCGTACGCGGGCTTTTCCGGCGATGATTGAGAGAGGCCCCTTGGCATTGTTCGCTGCCATAGGCAATTGGAATGTCGGCCACGTACAGCACTTACACCTACACAGCGCATCGCCAGGCCGCACCGCAGAGACAGCCCGTATAGCAGAGTACGCGCGCGCAACAACAACGAGCATTATGTAAAGCCATTACAGAAGAAACCGTTGAGCGTTACGCGCTCGCACGGACTGGATACGTCGCCATTTAGGATCCGCGGTTTCCGCGTGTTTAATGCACAGCCAGCGCCGCGCCACGACTGCAATATCTCACCGAGTACTGCTCTGGGGATTCTACTATCCCCCTATGCATCTCCCTCTATGAATTATCGCGCCACTTTGTAAATCATTCCCTCGACGTTTTTTGCCGAGCTTATTTCGCGAATGCGCGAGCTTGCAAGGGAAACGCCGTTACACAAATGGATGCGTTGTTTTACGCGGGCGTCTGCCACTATACAATTATATTCTAGGACGGCGCGCTATACCAGTCGTCGTGTGTAAAGTAAAAAAGAGAAAGCGAGAGAGAGAGAGAGAGAGAGAGAGAGAGAAAGAGTCATACGTTTTTGCGTTTATTCGCGTGTTCGAATTCACGCATGGAGAAGAGAAAAGCTTCTTTCTCGCTTTTTTGGAAGTTGAAACGAGTTGAACTCCGAAAAAAGAAAGGGGGAGGGGAGAAGCATTAGTTTGAAGTAGAATAACAGCTCGAGAATTTTTATGTGCGTGCGTAAGTATATGCGCCAGTAAGTACTTTCCCTAGTATAAGTACTCCCTCGCTCGTGCTTTTTTTTTCTCGCAGCATTTTTACGACACACTTGAAACTTGGCAAATTCAACTTGTGAACTGGATCAAAAGCTTCTCTCTCTCTCTCTCTGTCTTTCTTTTTTCAACCCTGTACAATTGGATGACTAGGACATTAACGCTCCGCTGTAAAGGGAAGACACCTTAAAACCTTTCCGAAACCGATTCCGTCGATAAAACGTTAACGATTGAGAGTGGGATGAGAGGAATCTCGATAAACCCTCAACAAGTTATTAAGCGCCACCTCTGAAATGTCTTGTATAATATATGAAAATTCTCGGGGCAAATAATCTAGACAAACTTATCGCTCGACTGCAAGCCAGCAGAATCAACACGTATGTATGTATGTGTACATATACATATAGCGAGACCAAAAGAAAGAGAGTTCAGTTTGCCAAGCTGGCGTGAAAGCAGCCGCGCAAGTGATGCGTGTCACGCGTAAAGGCGCCACTTTGAAAGGCGCGAAATCGGCGATCTCGCGCGGCTACAATCAACGCCCCGAGCTTCGGTTTTATTCCGCGCGCGGGTATCGAAGGTCGCCGTGGTATGTCAGGCGCGTGCAAAGTTTGGCCGCGCCGCTCGCTCGTGCATTCGTAAATTATGGAAATTGCCGCGCGCGGAGTGGGCGGCCGCCGCGAGCTGCAGCTATCGAGAGACGAACCCGCAGCCGAGGCTACACCACGATCATTGGGCGTAATGCGATTGGGCTTCGCGTGCGCGCGCGCGACGGTGTGTCGGCCTCGTATATGGAAATTGCCGGGCGCGCCGTACGTACGGCTTTCTTGCGCGCGTTTGATTACGCGAATCCAATTACGCATCGATCGCCCCACGTCTCCCTATCATATTGGGCTAATCGAGCTTTCCCAAACCGATGCTTCGATGTTTTTACGCCGTCTCTCTCTCTCTCTCTCTCTCTCACTGCGTGAACAGAACTGGCGCCGTTGCATTTTTCGCGCAGCCTGTCAAATTCATCATTCCTCCTGGGCGGACGCGTCTAAAAGATGAAGCTTTTCCGCTCCGGTTATTGAAAAGCGTCTGGAGCGATGGTTCTTTGTAAATCAAATTTGTAACGGACCCGAACGTCGTATTTCACGATGTTGCGGTCGAGTGGCTCCTGAGAGAAAGCGAAAATGGATAACGG